CTCCCCTTTTTAAAGCCATCAGATCCCATGAGACTCATTCACTATCCTGAGAACAGTGCAGGAAAGACTCACCCCTATAATTCAATCACCTCCCACCGCGTGTCTCCCATGACATATGGGGATTGCGGAAGATACAATTCAAGATGAGATTTGGGTGGGAACACAGCCAAACCATATCTTTCTACCCTGACCCCTCCCAAATCTCATGTCCTCACATTTCAAAACCAATCATACCTTCCCAACAGTTGCCCAAAGTCTTAACTCATTTCAGCATTAACTCAAAAGTCCACGGTCCAACATCTCATCTGAGACAAGGCAAGTCCCTTCTGCCTATGAGCTTGTAAAATCAAAAGCAAGTTAATTACTTCCTCAATACAATGAGGGTATAGGCATTGGGTAAATACAGCCATTCTAAATGGGAGAAATTGGCCAAAACAATGGGGTTACAGCCCCCATGCAAATTCGAAATCCAGCAGGGCAGTCAAAACTTAAAGCTCCAAAATGATCTCCTTTGACTCCATGCAGTCAAAGGTTATGCAGTCAAAGGTTATGCAGTCAAAGGTTATGCAGTCAAAGGTTATGACTCCATGCAGTCAAAGGTTATGCAGATGCAAGAGGTGGGTTCCAATGGTCTTGGGCAATAGTTAAGAAAACAAAAACGAAAAATCTTAGTTCTTGTAACACAAATAACTCTATTTTCATAAGTAATCAAAGATCTTGATAAAGACAACTTTGTGGTTTTTAACAGAAAGAAGACCAAATTCTAGTTTTGCATCAGTGTACTTTGATATTGAAAGCCCATTTTAAAATCTTTGTAATAAATTCATTCAATTTTATCCAGTTTAACCACATAAGATTCTCTGTCTCATTCTCTTTCTCTCCCTCCTACTTTCTATGTTCATTTAGCTTTTGTTCTTTATTATCCTCTTTTTTCATGTTGAAATAATCTTTAACCTTCAAAGTAGAACAAAATCACGTTCCCAGGTATAAAACCTTGATATTGTAAAGTTATCAATTCTTCCTAAATTTATTTACAAATGTAACACAATTCCACCCAAGCTTGAGTTTTTATAGGTAATTGACTAGATGATCCTAAAGTTTAAGAAACAAATGGCTCTAATATGTAAGACATTTGGAAATATATAATGAAAGGGAGTTGCATAATAATATCATCTATATAAATCATCTTATAAATCTACAGTAAGAAGAGTGTCCCTAGCACAGAAATAAAATATCAATAGAATATAAAGTACAAAATCAGAATCAGGAACATTAAAGAATATATGACAAAGGTGATATTTCAAGCCCAAAGGGGAGAGGACAGTTATTCAACACATACTGTTTCAAAATTTGTCAGATAAGAATGGAGAGGAGGAGGCTTTTCTCCTCTGACCCCAGGGAATGTGAGAAGAGACACAGTGGTTATGACAGGAAGCAGTCACACCTGCGAGTCCCTACCTTCCCCATCAGACCTAGGGGGCATGGAGCACTCTCTGCTAAGATGGGGACCCCCAAGGAATGTCTCCCTGCAGAGCACTTCGTTACCAGATGGAATGGCCAGTGCGGTTAAGTTGGTGGTCAGGCAGAAAAAAAAGATCTAGTTTGTACTCTTGAGAGTTCCTCAGTTTGTTCATGGCATGGGCGGGAGTCAAGGAGCAGCAGCCTTGCCTCAGTGCCTACCAGTGTAGGAAAAGCTACATAGCCTGGGCCAGGGCCCTGGTGGAGACGTAGTGGTAACAGAAAGGGCTCTCCATTGCAGACCAAGGAAGACTAAGAATGAATACCTCATGAGTCTATTAGCTACAAACCACCACAGCAGGTTCCAGAAAAAGGCTCAGGGTTGGGACCACATCACCCCCACTCAGCAGACACCAGTCATATAAATCAAGGACCAAGAGGAGACAGAAACACCCCCTTCTCACTCTTCCCTGTGTCTCAAGTTGTACTGGCCTTTCCTCCAGATCTCTGCCACCGTCTTAGAAAGGACCACTGAGAGAAGAAATTGAAATTATAAGCTGACAGCATAAAGAGGATGAGTAAAATCTAAAATCATTGTTCAAATGAATGAATCAAGAGAAGTTTAAACCACTTTGGACTAAAATGTGTGAATCCTTTTTCCTGCTACCCAGCAGATGAGAAGCTGGTAACAGAGAACAAAATAGTTTGGAGACTAAAGAATCATTGCACATTTTACTGCTGAGTTGTATTGTGAGTAATTTTAGTTGACCTCACTTTCTGAAATCTTGCACATAGGCATCCGTATCTGCACAGAGAAATGTTAACAGTGGGAAATGCTGCATGAGGAGATGGGGTGATTTTTACTTTTGTTTTTGTGCTCTTCTTTTTTGTTGTTCTTACTTATGTACTATTACCCCATCATTTTCCAAAATGCGAAAGGCCATTTTGAAAGCCTAGTTCAAACCTCTTGAGTATTTTATACCTAAACATTCATCTTGATTGAGACTGGGTAGACAGATGAAAACCATATCAGGTTTTTAATTTTTTAATTTTTGAGACAGGGTCTCATTCTGTCACCCAGGCTGGAGTACAGTGGTGTGATCACAGTACACTGCAGCCTCAACCTCCTAAGCTCAAGTGATTCTCCCACCTCAGCCCCCCAAGTAGTTGGGACCACAGGTATATGCCACCATGCCTGGCTAATTTTTTATTTTTATTTTTTGTAGAGACGGGGTCTCACTACATTTTCCAGGCTGGTCTTGAATTCCTGGGCTCAGGTGAACCTCCCACCTGGGCCTCCCAAAGTACTGGGATTACAGGCATGAGCCAAAGTCCCCTGCCCATATGAGATTTTCTATCTCTGATCCCATGCAGCTAGTAATCAAGGACTTGGTTGCTGACTCTGGAGGACCTGTATGCTTTCTTGAGCTTTGAACTTTAGTGCTAAAAGCTCACAGGCAGCCCTGAAACCCAAACCAAAAGGTTCTATGGTTTATCATCCTGAGCATGTTGATTTTATAGAAATAACATATGAATTAAAGATACTACCCTCAAATTGAGCAAAACTTAAGTAATTTTTTAAAAGTTTGACCTGTTTTTAAATCACTCTTGGAGAAAAGGAAAATAAATACAAATAATTAATGGTGAGTACAGGCTACTATACCTTTGTTCTCCAGAATAAGCAGTTCTGTTCCTTTCTTGCTTTAGATGCTGAAGTGTAGGACACTCTCTGTGATTGTACATGTGTAACTGACAAAATGTGTATTTTTTTTCTCAGCTGCTATGGATTGGATTATGCTATTAGGAGTAAGAATGCTGATAAGAGCACACACAAACTATTTGTTCCTCAAGTCCATTTTCCTCCTCAAAAGCCTGGAGTGTGCCGTTGATCAGTGGGAGATGTACCTGGACAGACCCATGAAAAGAGATCAGCAAGTTCCACCCAAGGGACCCTATTTTTCCTAATTTCATTTGAAATAGCTTCTAATTGTCCTTCTTTCATTCCTGGTTCCTACCAGTTTTACAGCTTTTTCTGGTTTCAAATGTGAACTCACATACACTCTCATTTATCCTCATAACAACCCCTAGTGACCCAATGGTCGTCAATTTGGATATAAGAAAAGGAGGCTCTGCGTTAAGGGCTTGTCCAAGGCATCCAGCTGAGAGGTGCTAAGACTGGCTCCATTTCCATCTCTATTCTCACTGACTTTGACCACATAGAACCCCAACATGTGGGGCCTCAGTATTTGATCAATTATTCTATTAAGAAGCAAAAGCAATTCCTCGCATTGGCCCCAGGTATTAAGCATTTCTCAGATTTACCTCGAGAAACGCTCATCAGCCTGTATATTCACATCTTCACCCTTGTCCCTTCCTCCTAGAAAGAAGAAAGTCAGTTGGATGCCCTTTGAGGAACCAGTGCAGGCTTAACTGTCCTTCCACGACTCCTGCCTTATCTGTTTTCTATTTTCCTCCTTCTCCACCGAAGTCTGTAATCTCAAGAAAAGCAGGCATTGGCCTTAGGGCTCCTGGCCTAAGAAATATCGAGTCCAATAAGAAATCCCATTGACTGACCCCTCCTGCTTACCCCTTTGTGATGGAGAAGCTCCCAGAGGTTTGCTTTTGGCACATTACCAGCCTAACTCAGCATCACTAGGAGCAGGAAAAGGAAAGTAACCTAAACTAATACTGCTTATAATTGTAATTATTGTAATAGTTAATTACTGTATTTGTACAGGTGTAACAGACAAAAGGTGTATTTTTTTCACAGCTGCTATGGATTGGATTATGCCATTTGGAATAAGAATGCTGTTAAGAGCACACAAACCAGTTGTTCCTCAAGTCTGTAGCAAATTTTTCAAAAGTTAAATTTAAAAATCACTACATTTGAATTTAGTGACAGGAGAAATGGACATAGATAGAGACTAAAGATCTAGCCCAAATTTTATATTTACTTGTTAGAGGATTTTGAACAAATTACTAAATTTCTTCAAGGGTTCAATTTCCCCATTAACTTTAATGAATGGCACATCATTATGGGGCCCCAGAGAAGCACAGTTACTTGTAATTGTAATCATCATTGTTATTATTATTATACATATTTTGCTTTTAAATGGATAAGGATTTTGAAAGTATATATAAACTGTAAAACATAAAATGCAAAACACCGTAAGAGACAGTAGTAATAATAATGATTATTATATTGTTATCATTATCCAGCCTGTTTTTTCCTGTTTTGTATTTCTTCCTTCAAATGCTTTCAGAAATCAGTATCCCCATTCATCACCACCATCCCACATTTCTGTTTCTTTTCCCATCTCGGATCATGCTGACTTTGAAAGCTTCAGCTCTTTCCTTCCTGAACCCCTCTCCTGGTACCTCTGATATGCCTTTTGAAATTCCTGTTAAAGAATCCCTAGGCTGCTATCACATGTGGCATCTTTGTTGAGTACATGAATAAATCAACTGCTGTGTTTTACAAAGGGTGATTATGCTTAATTGTGGGATTGTATTTTTCTTCTTCTATCACAGGGAGAAGTGAAATGACAACCTCACTAGATACGGTTGAGACCTTTGGTCCCACATCGTACGATGATGACATGGGCCTGCTCTGTGAAAAAGCCGATGTCGGAGCACTGATAGCCCAGTTCGTGCCCCCGCTGTATTCCCTGGTGTTCATGGTGGGCCTCTTGGGCAACGTGGTGGTGGTGATGATCCTCATAAAATACAGGAGGCTCCGAATTATGACCAACATCTACCTGCTCAACCTGGCCATTTCGGACCTGCTCTTCCTCTTCACCCTTCCGTTCTGGATCCACTATGTCAGGGAGCGTAACTGGGTCTTCAGCCATGGCATGTGTAAGGTCCTCTCGGGGTTTTATCACACAGGCTTGTACAGCGAGATCTTTTTCATAATCCTCCTGACGATTGACAGGTACCTGGCCATTGTCCATGCTGTGTTTGCCCTTCGAGCCAGGACTGTCACTTTTGGTGTCATCACTAGCATCGTCACCTGGGGCCTGGCAGTGCTAGCAGCTCTTCCTGAATTTATTTTCTATGGGACTGAAGAGTTGTTTCCAGAGACTCTTTGCAGTGCTATTTACCCACAGGATACAGTATATAGCTGGAGGCATTTCCACACTCTGAGAATGACCATCTTGTGTCTCGCTCTCCCTCTGCTCGTTATGGCCATCTGCTACACAGGAATCATCAAAACGCTGCTGAGGTGCCCCAGTAAAAAAAAGTACAAGGCCATCCGGCTCATTTTTGTCATCATGGCTGTGTTTTTCATTTTCTGGACACCCTACAATGTGGCTATCCTTATCTCTACCTATCAATCCGTCTTATTTGGACTTGACTGTGAACGGAGCAAGCATCTGGACCTGTTCGTGCTGGCGACAGAGGTGATCGCCTACTCCCACTGCTGCGTGAACCCAGTGATCTACGCCTTTGTTGGAGAGAGGTTCCGGAAGTACCTGCGCCACTTCTTCCACAGGCACGTGCTCATGCACCTGGGCAAATACATCCCATTCCTTCCTAGTGAGAAGCTGGAAAGAACCAGCTCTGTCTCTCCGTCCACAGCAGAGCCGGAACTCTCTATTGTGTTTTAGGTCAGATGCAGAAAATTGCCTAACGAGGAAGGACCAAGCAGATGAAGCAAACACATTAAGCCTTCCACACTCACCTCTTGAACAGTCCTTCAAACTTCCAGTGCAGCACCGAAGCTCTTGAAGACACTGAAATATACACACAGCAGTAGCAGTAGATGCATGTACCCTAAGGTCATTATCACAGGCCGGGGGTTGGGCGGTGTACTCATCATCAACCCTAAAAAGCAGAGCTTTGCTTCTCTGAAGAGTTACCTACATTTTAATGCACCTGACTGTTAAATAGCTACAAAAACGTAAAAGTTTTTATATTTTATATGTTAACTTCAGCCAGCTATTGATATAAATAAAACATTTTCACACAATACAATAAGTTAACTATTTTATTTTCTAGTGTGCCTAGTTCTTTCCCTGCTTAATGAAAGGTTTGTTTTTTTAGTGTGAATAAATAATCTTAAGCAACATAACGGCATGCCATTCCTGTTCTAAATATTCTTAAAAGTTTGTGGATTTCCTCTTCACACTGAATGGCAAAATTTCCCATGGGTGATTCACAGAGCCCTGAGAACTGTGCACTGTCCTCTTAATGCCAATCTTGCATTGCTGAGGAGGCCAGGGGCCTACTCTAAATATGAAGTAGCCTGGGTATGGAGTGGGGAGGTGTTGGGCCTGCAGAGACTCTTGACACCTGTAGCTCAGTGGCTCTCAAACTTGTCGTCAGAAGCACCTGGAAGGTGTGTGAAAACGTGGATGGCTGGGCCCCACCCCAGAGTTTCTGATTCAGCGGATCTAGAATGAGACACAAGAATGTGCCTAGCATCACTAGCAAGTTTTCAGGTGATGCTGATGATGCTGGTCCTGGAACCACACTTTTAGAACAACTGCCCTAGCTAAAATGTCTGGATGTTCCAGAGTCATCCTTGAAATTGCAGATTTTAGGTGTCAGAAGGAAATGTAAAATACCCTTGTGATCTAGGCTCTGCCAAGAATAATCACCACCCAGGGCAGCATATATATGTCAGTTCATCGTAAACCAATTTGTTTAGTAGGATTTTCTACTCCATCGTTTTTATTCAGTTGAGCTTTTCTTGAGAGCCTGTATTTAATACCCTGCCCTAGAAGCTATGATAGATACAAAGATGAGTAAGACTTTGTGTGAGCTACATCCTAAGGAGGAAAACATGCAACTTATGATGTAAAAGTATCTCCCCCCCAAAAAAGTAAGAGTGGCCCAGGTCCCCATTCCCTTTGGTTCTCCCTAGTTATGGCTTCTGTGGGAAGTAAGTTCTAAGCTTCTGATTAACTTGTGCCTCTCAGTAGAGATCATATGACTGTGCAATGTGAGCCTTGCCAGCTGTCTGTCCAATAGCTCTTCCTGCTCTTCCTCTTCACCCTTCACCTATCTGTTAGGTGATCTGGACAGGATGCACAAACACTGCTTCAGGTTAAGTGAAAGATGCAAAACTGTGTAAGACAAGCACAATCCCTGCCCCTATGAAACCTTCAGTCTAGTAGGGGTTATAAGATGGAAACAAACAACTCTGGTGCAAAGAGTTAGACACTCAATGCTAGGCCTGGACCAGGAAGGGAAAAACTACTTCTTGCTGGAACCTGAGGGGAGGAAGATTTCATGGAGGAAGTAGCTTTTGAGCAGTTATCTGAAAGAAAGGCAGGATTTAGAAAGGGAGAGGATTTGGGAGAAGCCACCTTTAACCCAAGAGAATGCCCCATCCAAAGATGAGATGCACATCCAAAGATGCACATTTGCGGACAAGAGGGTGGCATGGACAGGGTAGGGTGGGCCATAAATTTCACACAAGGAGAGCTATGGAAGGGTTTAGAGCAGGGGAGAAAAACAATGCAGGAAGATATGTCTGGTAACACATAGAGCATGGAGTGGAGGCCCCAGAACCATGCAGGAGGGAGTTAGGAGGTGAGTGCAAGTGTGGAGGCAAGGAAAGATCAGCAGCTGGTAAGAGAAGTTCCAGGAGCACTCAGGAGAATTTGACCAAGAGACAGCGTGAAGGATGAATTAAAGCACTAGGAGTGATATATGGTTGAGTGTAAAAATCAAAGGGCAAGCCTGGGCACGGTGGCTCATGCCTGTAATCCCAGCACTTTGGGTGGCCGAGGTGAGCGGATCACGAGATGAGGAGATAGAGACCATCCTGGCCAACACGGCAAAACCCTGTCTTTACTAAAGTACAAAAATTAGCCAGGTGTGGTGGCGGGTACCTGTAATCGCAGCTATTCAGGAGGCTGAGGCAGGAGAATCACTTGAACCCGGGAGGCGAGGTTGCAATGAGCTGAGACAGCACCACTGCATTTCAGCCTGAGTGACAAGAGCGAGACGTCGTCAAAACAAACAAACAACAACAACAACCAAAAAAAAAAAACAAAGGGCAAAGTAGTGTATCATATGCTTAAAAAAAAAAAAAAAAAGACACACATGTTTTACTTTGTACGTAGATGTATAGACCTCCTCTCTAAGGATACAAAAGAAACCAGTACCAATATGGGGTGGCTGGAGAACAGGAAAAGAAGTATGACTTTTTGTGCCTTCTGGATTTTCAGTCATGGGAACATACTACTCATTCAAAAAATAAATACAACCTTAGAATGATATAAAAAATAAAAGACTAGGCCGCTATGCAGATGTTCAGAAGTAGGCATACGTCCTACCAGCCATAAGGAGATTAGAAGCCTCCTGCTATGAATTAATCCTGTGACCTGGCACAAATTATTTGGCCTCTTTAGCCTTGATTTCCTCATCCATATAATAAAAAAAGTTGAATTAAATCATCTCTAAGGCCCCTCTGTGGCCCAAGTAGACTCTAATCTTGCTAAAATGTTAGGAGCTGGAGGCTCTAAGTTTACAAAATAGATGATAACAGAAAGGAGAAGAGGAGTGGTGGACAAGCCCACAGCATTACCTCCACTGGTCGTGAGGCCAGGCATGGTTCCCACTGTTCACTAAGGGGTACTCAGGTCTTGTTCATTCATTTGGTCATTTACTATTCAGCAAACATTTGCTGAGCATCCACCATGTTCTTAGCTAAGTTCTGAGAAAACAAACGAGGGCACATCCACAGGTGTCCAATTCAGTCTGATGGTGAGCTCCCTGGGGATGTCCAATTCAGTCTCAACTTGGATGCTGCCCACAGGGGGCTCACCATCAGACTGAATTGAATACTGCTCTTGTCCTCCACTGCCAGAGTTCATGACTATGCCTTAAAAAGGAATTACCAATGCTTAAATTCAACCCAGATGAGAGTTCCACGCAAAGACCAGAAGACATTTTCTACTTCCCAATCCAATGCTTGGAGAAAGGGAGTGCATTCTCTTGGCCATCATTCCATCCATCCTCACCCTCTGGTGAGTGGCCTGGCCTTTTGTCACTGTTATGCCTATCTGAGAGCTCTGCATGGCCGACACAGGATGTGAACTCTGGAACACTCTAAACCACACAACACGAATCTCAATTTGGCTAGGACACTTTGAAGTACTTCTCTTTTTTGTGGTTCAGCCAAAATGTAAATAAAACAATCATTTAAAAACTGAATTATACATCACTGATTCTCTCTCGCATTATGAAGTTGCATCTGCCCTTAGGTAACCACAAGCGCAGGATAGAGTTGCTTGTTCACACCATACTCCTCTTACCCTTGGAAGCTTTTCGGAACTTTTTGATTCACTTAAACTTCACCTAACCAAATCATGAATTGGTGTGTGCTGCTTTGTTCACCAGCCCAGCTCTGTTCAAGAATGATAGAAATACACCGAGGGAAATGTTCTGTATCTGCACTGTCCAATATGATCACCGCCTGCCACATGCAACTATTGAGCACTTGAGCATTGAAATGTGGCTTAGGTGGCTAAGGCACTGAATTTTTAAATTTTATTCAATTTAAATTACTTAGGATTTAAATTTCAAGGGCCACATGTGGTAGTGGTGCAGCACTAACCCCTTCAAATCTGCCTCTCAAATCTGCCTCTTGACCCCTCCTCTACCTATGCATCCAGCATCCCGTAGCCCTCAAACACATGCCCTGAACACTGCACAACAATAGGGAAAATGCTGGTGATGCAATATGAATGAGATCCATTTCTAGAACACTCACTCACCGTTCAGTGGAGGAGACTGACCTGATTCCTGTGGCTGTAATGAAACGTGAGGGGTGCCTGAAGGACACTGCTGCAGATAGTAGGAGGGAGACATTGAAGAAAGGTGCACAGAGAAGATGTCTTTCTGCTTAGATGGGGTTCCTCCAGGCACAGACCCTGAGCAAGGATTTGAGGGAAAAAAGTTTATTTACAAAGTGCAGGAAACTCCAGTAGGAAAGTGAGGAAGTAAAATAGGGAGGGAGGAGAAGATGCGAACAAGGGTACATTATCCAGCCATTTTTCACAGGGGGTGACTGGAGTTAAAGCCACTTGGAAATTCTGCGAGACAGCACAACATACTTCTCCTGATTTAAGGGGTGAGGGAGTTGGGGTATTTACAATCCATTCCCGCCAGTCATTGGCCGAGGATTGCTCCTGGGGAATGTTAATCCCCAGCACTTCCCGCTGGCCTTGCTAGGGCAGGAGGCCTTCCCAGCTTTGGAGAACATTCCTGGGGCAACAAGATGTAGATGCTGGATATTGGAAGACAGTTGGGCATGTTTGGTTAAGGCTTGACAGATAAAGCATTTACTACGCATTTGAACTAGTGTTAGAACAGTTTTTTCATGAAGCAGAGGGTGGGAGTGAGAGTAGCATCCAGGCAGGTGGATCAGTTTGTTGGAAGGCACTGTGGCACAAAAGTGACCCACAGATGCCTGCTGTGGTGATGCCTAGTGTGACATTGGGCAATGACCGATGCCCTTTATTGTGCCTCTCTGTTTTCTTCCCTGTTTGCTTTACTCCTCCTCCTTTTGTTCAGCATAATAATCTGCTGTTTCAGAAGATGGTCCTTTCCAGCTTGAGATCCTGAAGTGTTCTACAGATTCCAGAGCTAAAAT